CTTGTGGTAACTCATTGCTCACTTACTAAAAAGGCACGCTAAGGCTTGAACTGAAGACTGGGGGCGTCAGTGTAACTCTCAGCCATTTTACATCCTGGGGCAATTACCCCATTCTGACGTTTAGGCACATATGTGTTGGCATGTACATGCCACTGAGGCCCTTAGGCCCATGGGGACGCTTGTAAAATTGTACTGTTTAGAGAGGTACAGTGGTGAACAGATGGCACACACGTGGCAGTCCTTAGGCATTGACATTCGCTGGCATACCTTGTCCTCTGATCTGTTTGGGCATGAGGGATTATTATTATTATTATTATTATTATTATTATTATTATTATTATTATTATTATTATTATTATTATCTTGACATGCTCTTATGAATTGACACATATGAACAATGCGTGTTTTTCTTTAATAACAAATAAGTGACATAACAAAATAAGTTTCAAATTACCAGCCATGATTATCTGAATAATAGAAACACGGTCTAAGAACAGATAAAAATTTCGTAGTTCGCATTTTGTACGCGTACTTGTACACCCCCGAATACGTAACGTTGATAAGCGGAAGGGGCAGTTTCTGACGCGCCTAATAATTGTTAGAATATTTTAGCTGTGAAAATTTACCTGTTAATTTGGTTTTCTCCTCTGAACAAACTCTAAACATTGACATATTTGGATTAGATTTTTATTCTCTGAATTTTATATGACTAGAATAATTGTTGAAAATAAGACTGAGCATATTATTATAATTATAATTGTTTTATATTATTTCTTGTCGTATTTATGAAATCAATTTAAACCTTTCTTGGCAGACCTTTATTGAATGACTTTGCTCGTTTCAGAGTACGGTCCAATCAATCTTTTGACTTCATTAGTCTTAAATTATTTTCTCCATATATAGTAAGAGTTGCTGTTGCGTTACGGACAAATTAGTATTAGAATAGATGTAATAATAAATAATGATAAAAAACGAACTGAATGAATTCCAGAACTCAGCCCCTTAATGAATGGTGTATAGGCAACCTCACAAGCACTAGTGCAATTTGTAATGCATCGTATTACCTACACAGGCGTATTCGTTTGGGATTCCGTCTAGTACGAGGGTTTTGGAACTGTAGTGCACACACCTAAAATGACCATGGGGAGATTTGAAGAGGGAATTAACGTTATAAAAAGTAAGTGTATGTTTTGGATTTTAAGTTTCCAATGACTCGACTTCACTCGCATCTGATTAAATCTCATTGTCATCTATGAATACTTAATCCTGGCATACTTAAATATCATTATCGAAATAATCTCGATTTAGAATAGGATATTTGATTTAAATATTCATCTAGCGAAAGTCATGACAAAAGCGTGCGGGCGTGCCCATCTTAGTTGAAATATTGATGATTCATAATCTCTGTAGTCGAGAGTTCAAAACTGTCTTGACAGCGGGCGCAGATTGTATTCATTCTGTGTACGTCACCTAGTTTTACTGTTTACGAAACAAATCATATCAAAACTAATGTTTATGACAGTATATAATTTATATAACTTTATATAATTATATACTTTTGTTTTTCAGATAGGATAATATCTTCGTTTAATTGATAGATTAATGGATTGATTAGTACCTTCAGGAGCTAAGGCTACTAATCTTGTAAGTTTAGTGCATGTTTCTGTCGCAGTGTGAGGCGGGAATCTTTCCTCGCTGGATGGCGGGATTCGGCACCGACGTACCAGTAGCCTTGTGGAGGTTTTCCGCACAAGGTTTCTTCCCGTGTTTCATTAGTTGTGAAATTGTCGAATAGCATATTGCGATCTACGAAAAAACCCCGGAAAACATATCGAATGAACTGAAACTTGAGATTAAGGTTCGTTAGATTGACCAGGGTGAAGTACACAGAAAAAATCGTTTAAATGAAAACAAAATCTGATCATCAAGATGGTAAAAAAACTAGTGGCCATTGTTGACCTATTTTTTAATAAAATAACTCAAGTGCAGTCTCTTATGGAAAATCTTTTGCAATCATAGTTTTTAAAGAAGTTACACTACGAAAGTACTTGTTTCATGTATTTTTTAAAGAATCAGATGGAGTAAAATGTAACATATTTCACTGGGTATTCTGAGGAGTAGATAATAAAAAACGGATGTGAAATTCATCGCAACAGGAAGGACTGGTTCTCGCCCTAGAAGTTATTCTGTACAAATCATGCTGTTGTTACCACTGTTTCTCTTGGGACATGAGATAAAACCATCCTAACTTAAAATTTTATACTATAGACAACCACATACCATTGTAAACATTGTTTTTATACAGCAACTATTCAATACCTCTCTTTTAACTATTTACAAATAATTATTTAAATGCTCCGTTCACGTTTATAGACAGCTATACTTAATCCGTAGATGTAAATGGTCGAGTGTTTGTCTAGTGACTGGAACGAATATGCCGCCTTAAAGCTGACTACAGAAAATTCACAAGCTAAAATATGTACTCTAAGACATGTACTGATTCTCCACTATTGAAAATTAATGAGACCATTGTGTTTGGGATGAGAAGGTTGCCAGTTAATATTTAGGAGCACGGAATTACGAGTTCATAATGCTTACTAATGTCCAAATCAGTTGTAAGGCCAACAATAACTTGTTATGGAATATTATGGAATATCGTGGCTCCAAGACGTGTAAAACCTTTCAAATTTATCCATAATAACAATTTAACCCTTAACTATTGTCGTTGGGTTAGATTCGTCCCAGAGGAGCTTTTAGTTTAAGTACATCATTTCAGCCCCATTTCCTTGTGCTGCCAATTAATCTTTACTATCTACAATTATGGAGAGCGGCATTTTAGAACGCGTGAGAGAAATTTGATTTCCCCGAGAGTGCCTTTGACGTTCGTCTTTTCATGTCTATGCGTTTATTATAACGAATAATGGAATTTGAATCGTACTTTTAACAGAGATTTGCGGCGATATCTGTAACGCTCTAACAATACTGTCACGTTGCTCTTACAACCATCTTAATTTCAGAGATACCACTATTCACAACCTCGCTCTGTTTGTAGTTTTATTTATTTCACAGTGTATAGGAAAAGGGCGCGGAAGAGATCCTGAAGCTCGAGAAACCGTACGCAGATTATACTTGTAAGCGTACACTTCTAACTTTTCAGTAAAATAAAAAAATTGTTAGTCATTTAGTTAGTTAATTGTATTTTATACCCCATGATGTAGTATAATTTCATAGTTGAGGAACGTTAATTTCTTAATCATTTGAGAGGCACGATCTTCAAAAACTTTAAGAACCTCGGGTCTAGACAATTTCAAAAACTATCATTACAATAAATCAAAGATTTAATCATATACTCGTAGAAACAGATTTGTTCCCGTTGCCCAGATCACTTTGAGTTTCCTCAGTAAGCTTACCTTTCCATCTACGCTGCTGAACTCAGCTGGAATTTCTTAACCGACTTTCCGGTTAGGTCACCACTCATTGCCATGTCAATACCATGAATAAAATAAATTGAGACCATGATATCGTGGGGTAGTTTATAGTACTTTGAAGAGTAAAATAATACTTAATAGTGTGTTTTCAACCATGCTCACACCCTGCTGCGTGTAACGTCTTTCATTGTTTCGTTTTTACAATTTGATATCATAATAATGTATTATAATTTTAAAAAACGTATTTTATAATGCGAATTCAATACATAGAAGCGGTTAAAGATGGGCTTTTCAATATCTTCAACAGAACATGGGCGTTACAGAAGTCCCAATTTCTACTTTTATGAGTACATAAGGTATATTACTCAGAATATGTTAGAAAAATCTTCAATTTTATTCAAAACAAATAAACGTGCAAAGACAGTGGTTAGGAATCACCTCGTTTCAGTAACTACTATTTTGACGATCATTTTACATCGATTATAAACGCGTAGTTAAATTTCTTATATACATATTGCGGCCATAAGGCGACAAAATTCTATCCGACATCAAATAGTTTATACAGAGCATTTTGAAAGTTTGGAGCTGTCTAATAATAATAATACGCTATATGGTGTTCTTTTGTTCATAGGTTTTCTACCAGTCAGAATTCAAAGATGTTTTAAAATATTGTGGATCTGACAAAAATGTTTGAGAAATTAAAAATACCATTTTCTCCAAAAGTGTCAGATAGACCCTGTAGCCGCGATATGTATAGTAAATAAATTTCGTATGTCGAGTACGTCAATTAGATCAAATTTCTGGACATATTTAAAAAATTAGATCAAATTAATCAAGTCAATTTATTTAAGTATACTTAAATAATCCTTTTTAGAAAAAAAATAATTTAGTAGTCCCGAAATGATGATAAATAACTGATTATTCCAAATCTCGGAAACCGGTCACGCTGCCCGTCTTCGACCGCGGTACCGAAGGGCTAAACACACACGCCTTATGCACCCGCTTGGCCAAAACACTGCTAGTGGCTTTCCGACTGAAGTCTGGCTTCCAGCCGTTGTCTACGAGCGACTTCCAGTAGCGGGCAGATCTGCCGGTGACGCAGTGATAATTCACGGAGACCGTGTCGTACTCGGACGCTACACAGTACCCGCCGCACTTCTGCAGCACCGTCTGGCTGAAGCAATACGCGGAGCCGTTGTACACCACATCCACGTACTGCGACTTGCATCCGCCCTCCGGCTGCACCGACGACTCTCCCACGGCGCTGCGTAGGGCTTCATCGCCGGCCACGTTAAACACTAAAATCTCTTCCGGGAAGCGAGGTACTTTCTTCGAGAGGGCATTGTCAGTCTTCGCGGGGCCTTCGCACTGGTAGCGCACGTCCGCATACGACGCGGCAAACAAGCGAGGATCGCGCTGGAAGAGGCTGTCAGGGTCCTTGAAATCGTCTCCAGATTCTCCGGTGAACGTTCCACACAGTCCCACAGCTTGAGCTCGAAGGTAGTTAGGGATGTACGCTAAGATGCGTACACCGTCGTATAAAAGGCTTATGCCGTAGCTTTTCAGATTCACATGGAATAGGTTGCCGGTGATCAAAGAGAGTTCCACGATGCTGTGAAATTCTCTGTACTGAATGTCGAAGGACACTGGGGAGTCTTGGAAAACCATTACCAAATTTCCATTGACGTAAAGAGGAGCTGATCTTGCAGATTCCCTCGAACGGTAGAAACGCTGTGATTTTCGCAACTCCAGTTCACTTCCTTCAGGAAAGAGGACGCGAAGGATCTGAAACAGATTTTTACAATACAGATACCTCCCAAAACCACTGAAATATTGAGTCACTGAAATATTGAGTATTTCGTAAGTGACCTGCAATAGCCAAGCAAGAGCCATAATCACGCCACCTCACAAATAATTTCTGAACTGAAGGCATGAAGGTCTGTGAGGCTTTTTAATGCATTTCCTCCTCTTTGGTACATTGAGTATTTAACGTTCATTGGGTTCACGTTTTATAGTACACACTACTCACGTTTGGAATTACCATCACGCAAATCTGTAGCTGAGTTGCACTTTAAATTAAATTAATGTAAATCAATGCTACCTAATTAAGATTGAATTTTTTAACTTTTTTAACTTAAGAAAGGAGTGTAGAAATTCAATTGCTAGTGTTTAAAGAACATTTACATAAATCTGTGGGGGTTGTGGATAAATAACTGAAAATGTAAACGCACCGATGCCAAGATTGAAAGCTAAGACCTCTTTGAATATTTTCTAGCGGAGTTATTCCGCCGAATTACAAGACTATGCATCTTGCAGTTTACCTATAGCTTGTTGATAACAGGTAGAAACGGAACAAAATATTTTGCGAGAGAGTGAAGACGTGTTACCATTACTACTGAATATTAACGACCAAGACAATATTTTACGTAGTTTAGTCTACCGTATATGCACAGTCCAGACGTCTAAATCAATCGGCGATCTCGAATTTTGAAGGTATAGTACAGGTTCCAAGAGAAATTGATCTAGGACACAATATTATTTAAGAATTCGCAAAAAACGTTTCATATTTAAAACATAATGTGTATGAAACTACAGAATGTGATCCTAGAGTCAATCCTTGTTTCATAGATCGCCTTGATGAAGTGATTCATCAACATTCTGTTAACATGTATATAATAAAGCTCTAAAGACAACGGTTTTGATGTTGTTCCTATTAGACTCCCAGTGAATAGTTGTGGTGCAAATGAGGTACCAAAAACAAAGAAGAAATATACGTGAAGATCACTATATATTGAATAGATCACGGCTTTCCTATTTTAATAAAAAGCTACGAAATTTGCGTTGTTTGAAATACCCGGCCAGAATGGAAACGGGAAGATGGCGTCGAGCGCTACTTGGTAAGTTCGCGGGAAACGAAAGGGCAGTTGATCTCGCTTAAAGAACATCGTGTATGACGTAGAGAAATAAGCGCCGGTGTGTTTTCTCTGAGGATCTGAGTTCGGGTCTCAGCAATTTTGCTGGTTTATGTAGTAGTATAATAAAGCCGAGCAGTAAGAAATAATGCAAGAAATATATGATTTGGTAGCACTACTAGTTTATATAATAAGAAATAAAAAAGTAAAAAGGTATTTCTGAATACTAAAACTCCTTTTAAATGAAAATGAAATCAATAATGGTGTCACTCGATTTGAATAAATGGACTAAAATGTTAAAAAAATGTTTTCTGAAGAAGACCTGAATGGTTCCTGCAGTATCCGTCACTGCGCTGGTCGCAACCCGGAGATGTAGAGGGCATTGAAAACAAGGAGAAATGGGGGAACTTTATAAACAGATCGTATCTGGCTCGCGTTACGAAGTGCTCTGAATCGCCGGTAGGTAGAGCGCGTGTGGTCATAGCGCGGCTGAGCAGCCTCGGGGTCCCGCCAGGTGCTGCAGCATTAGAGGGTGGAGAGAGAGAGTGTGTGTGTGAGTGTGTGTGTGTGTGTGTGTGTGTGTGTGTGTGTGTGAGGGGGTCTCCTCGTGTTGCGTCATGGACGTTCGCTGTTCAATCGACAGATAGCTCACCGATCGGGGGACGCGCGTATGCCTACAATCTTGCTGATTGATCCAGTCATTGAAAATAATCTAGACTTTCTGTGAGTGCTTCTGTTGCTAAATAATCACTGGCAGAAAATATACGTGAAATAAAACTATTGAGGGTTTTTCGACATTTAACTGCACTAAGACATCCATTCGAGTTATAGTTTGACTTTTACAAGCAAAACATTAAGGCAAAGTTTAGCAAGATTGTGTTCTTTTTAATCGACAATTGAGACATTTTTTTAAAGAACAAACACATTATATTACATTAACATTATTGTTTTTGTAAACAGAAGAATTTGTGTAATTTATTACTTATATATTTTTCACAAAAATACAAGTTTTAATGGTTTTCTCACTCTGCTCCTTTATAAGTTATTTTAAAAACTTGTATTCAATTTCTTCAAAAAAGGTTAGTTTTTACTTTAAGATGAAAACATGTCAAATATTTTATGTACACATTTGATTACGCGTGTAACTAATATGCGAAAAGTCGTTATTGAAAAATAAAAACTTTTTGGGCCTTATTGATAAATAAGGCCAAAAACTTAATATATTTGCATATTATTCTTAATTTTTATAAATTTTAGAAGGATCTTTCTAGAGATTACTTATATAATAATATATCATATTTAATAACAAAAATGGTCTGGTACTAGATGAAATAATGAGAAAAATTTTATTTTTCAGATTCATTTGTTTTGTGATTGCTATCCTACTAGTAACATTAAATGGTCAGTGAATTCAATTTCATTTATTAAATATCAATTCTGACTAATATTGTTATAATTTCTGGAGTATTTTTCTTTTGTGGAAGAATTCAATCAACTGATTAATTTAACACAAAATACCGCCTACTAATGACTCAAAACATACGGAACATAAAACAGATATTCTATTATTGCTTCTTGAAAAAGACTATTCTCCACCATCATCTGAGCTAAAGAATTCAGCGTAGACTGGAGTTATAGGGGTCACAACAAAAACAAAAATGTTTATCTATTAAAAAATTTAAAAAAGAACAAAAAGAATAGCAACTGCTTTCCAGTCATCTCCTTTAACTAGTTTTCAATTCAGAGAGTTCACCTAGCTCATATCTGCTAACTGTTCTTCGAAATTGTCAAGGATACGTATTTGAGCTCGCAGAAGGCAAATAAAATATAAAATTAGCAGCAACTAACTTCAAGAACTAGAAGTCTGTTTTGTTATTTTCATTTATGAATTTCCACTAACGGATGAAATAACGTATGAAGAATTTAAAAAAAAACAGCAAAACATATTTTTATCTACAGTTACGAGGTACAATATTTTTCGCTTCACTTCATCAAATTGTTGAAACTTTTTAACGAGTGACAGCTCAGAAGATGTAATAGTCAACCAATTCCTGTAGGTCTAATGCGCTTCTAAGCATCTTCCTTTATTAAAGCCAAATAAAAAACATTTTAATTGTCGCATATAATTAAAATAAAGTTGTATCTTTCGATTTAAAACATACAATGTTTTTCGCCACTTTAGTCTGCAATGTTCATATTATTCGCAATATTGTTATGAATTGAAAAATGAGCATCTTTGACTTAATGGGAAACATAAATCTGTGAAAAAATTTCTAAAATAATTCATTGTTTATTAGATTATCTATCAGTCATTATGTTAATACTGCATTAATATCCAGACGTTTTGAGGCAGTTAGTTATTATTACAATAATTAAAAACTCACGCTCATTAAACAGATTTAAAACTTATTGGAAAACTGGTTAATTAAAAACATCTGAAAATCTGAAATATAGTAAGAAATGTAGATTGAAATATTCGGGGAGTTCATTTGTACCTGGTGCAGATACCATTTAAACTGTCAACGTAAGTTTGACTGAAAGTTTTAAAGTGAAAAAAATTAGCATTATTCTTTCATGTACTATATTGTCTTAAAGTTTATCGTTTTTAACAATTATTTGTTTATCGTACATTTAGATGAAATAACCTTGCTGAAGAAGAAACTAATCGCGTCGAAACGTTGAGAGAGATGGGAAAAGTTTTGAAATTAGTATGATTTAATAAATATGTTTAAACTAAATTGACTGGCTACATGATGGTTTCATTAAAAATTTTTCAAACAAGCTTGAAGTCTGTTTAATGTCTATACTTTTAAATTATTGTATTAATAATTGAGTGTCAAAAAGAGTCGACGAAACCTACGGAAAATTTACTGTAAAGTCGGGCATCGATCGACCGCGTTGGCTTTGCTTTCGCAGTTTCAAAGCTCCGGCGGTGGCGCCCGCGCTTCTTATCTGCCTTTGAAATCAATACGTTGGTCTTCCTCAAAAATCGGAAATGTCGGAACTGTTGGAGCCGCTCCATTCTCGCCGGTTTCGGCTGTCTCGGCAGCAGGGCCTTTGAACTCTCCATCACAACCGGCCAGAGAGCTCGAGGGTGCTACTCTAGGAAGCTCTCGTGTCACCGGGTACAGCAGCTGCAGGTTAGGCTCGCAAACTGCCTCATTTAAAATTGGCTAACTTGTAATAAATAGGAAAAGTGTCTTTTAAATGTTCAATTATTCGTAATATACACATATCAGAAGGTGCTGCTGCCGGCGGGTGCTGCGCATCACCGTATTGGTTTCTACCACGTTCAATGGGAGTTGAATGGCCCTGCTCGGCAGTGTCGACGGATCGACTCTGCACTGTTTGCTGGTAGTTTCGGTGGTTCATTTGTGAGAAGCGACACGAGGTCGGTAACCAAAGAGACTGTAAGAAATATCTTAGATAATGGAAGCTACATATTAATGAACAACAGTGAAAAATGATAAAAAAAGTGCCTGCTGGTTGAATTTTGTATAAAATGTTGTATTCTTAAGAAAGCAAATAACGTGTATTTATTAATTTCAGGTTTGGGAAAAATACTTTAAATTTAGAATTTAAATACTTTTTGTATATGTCTTTAAATAATACCCAAGATGCATTAGGTTTTAATTTGCTAAATATATCTTTACAAATTACTATGCGATTTTCGAAGTATTTCGTACATTTCCGACGATAATGTTTCATGTCATTTCAGATAGTTTTGGATGGTGCAATAAATGAACCGGTGGGTTTTGTGCAATGGGAAATGAAAACTGCAAAGCAATTTTAGTTTACAAAGGCAGCGCAACCTGAATAAGCACAAGTGTTTTGCAAATACTACTGCACAAAAGTCTGACGTATCAAGAAAATACAGAAAAAAATGGATTGATAGATGTGTGTTAATGTGTGCGAAGGATTCTCGTCGGTTTCATATTGCAGGAGGTGATGGTTATATTGAAGTTACTAATGAGTTAATAAATTTAGCAGCACTGGAATACTGGCGACTGGATGGCACTGAAGTATTGCGTTATCCAAGCACACGTCAGAGTCTAGACATGTATCAGCCATGGCGAGACAAAGTAAACAGTGTGCCATGACTTGTGACCTATGGTCTGATAATTACAGGAGAATCTGAGTTTATCCTCCATTCACTTTGAAGAAAATGACAACTGGAATCTTGAAACGTACACAATTTTGATCACCAGGTATCCCGATGCAGCAAATTCCGGGAACAATATTTTATGTGAATAAGAAGAACAAATGTAAGAATTACGATTTTTTCGGACGAATTTAAGAATGTGTCATTTGTAAGCGATCAAGATCCCAATATACAGAAGGCTTTAGAGAATCAAGAGCGTCTGTTATGCCTAATACATTATTTAAATACGGCCTTACATCATTCAATGGGTGAACAATTTCTACGAGACGAAGTACCAAGGGTTATGGTTTCAATTCAAAACGCTTGGTAGGCTACATCAATAGATCTGGTTTGGTGACTAGGCTTACAAAATATCTCCAAGTCAACATTAAAACCAGATGGTACTGAAACCACATGCTACTGAATTCATTCCATTTTCAGTATCAAGATATATTGATCGTATTGAATAAAAAATGAAAATAAGACCTGTTTCCCTACGACGTAACTCTGATAGAAGACATGGTAAAATTTCTGAAGCCATTTAAAGAAGTTGACGATCTAGAAGAGGATCGAGAACCGACTCTCCCGTTTGCTGTTCCGTGGGTCTTTACACTGTTAGCAAAATGTGAAGTCGAGGGTATTGGGTATTTACTTTGAAATTTTAAATTCATACCATTAGAGAATAGATTCGTATGAAAATATTGCGTATTTTTTTCAGGCACAAGATATCTGCATTCATTAATATTTTAAATTTTAATTGTACGTTTTTTTCTTTAATTACTTTTGGTTAATTTACTTTACCTATTAGTGCCCATTTCTTTTGATTTTAATATATTGAAACGAAGAACGTTTCTGTATTAGAACAATTAAAATTGATCACTAATTATAATTAAAATAAAGTACTGGAGTTGATCAGCGCAGTAACGCCGCCGCCGCCACCAACGGTCAAATCGGGGGGGTAAACGACGAGGCGAGCGACGGTTAGAGTAGTGCGCGGAGAGGCCTCGAGTGAAGCACGGACGGGGCAGTGCTGCGTCCAAGAGATTAATTGTCGTTGTTAAGTGCAGTTCGGACTGAGTGTGACCGCTGAGTGTGGAACCAGGTTGTTAAGGATTAACAATCAGATGATTAGTGAAAGGGGAATTGCGCACCAGAACTGATAAAAACCAATAAGACAGGATATCGTGTGGCCGATGGACTCGTGTCATATTCCCGCCCTGGTATAATATACCAGTGGGCAGTACTGTACGGACATCCGCGCAAAGTGGAGAAAGGTCGCTGAAAAGACTAGAACTGCCGACGAACATCAATCACGCGTCGTGCGTTCCAGTACCCGTGAGACATTATTCGTACCGGCTGGGGGTGGACCCCGGCGAATTCATCGGCCGTTACGTTGGGGCCAGAAGAGTTGGTCGCCGAAGGAGGGCGAATTCCCGGCGGACTTCGGGGCGAACCGAAGATTGCCGATGACACCGCCGCCGTTGCCACGACGGCCCTCTAGAGGAAGCAGGTGGTTTTTAAAACATCAAGGTAGCGTTGACCGTGCGCTTGTTTCCAAGGCCTGCGCATTGCGATTTGTAAATACTATTTGTAAAGTGTGTTTTATGATCATTAAAATATTTAAATGTGCAAAAGAATTTATAACGATTATCTTCCTATGCGGCGCCAAATTCCTGGAGACCCATTCACGAAAATGTACCTCTCCCTTGCATTATTTATTTGTCGTGAAAGTACCGCTTCCCAGGTACGTCACAATATTTATTAACTGAAATGGGACATTTCGTATACACTTTATCTGCTAATAATTCTTATCTGTCTTTCTGTTAAGCAAAACATGGTATACTGCGTTTCTATGACCTTCAGACCTACGTCATGAATTGATAAAACCACCCTCCATTCTTACTGCTCGGAAACTTCGAATTCTGAATAAAGGATGATCGGAACTGTGCGCAGCAAAAGTATTTGCAACCACATGATTGCTTAGGTTTCATAGAACTCATGTGCAATTCAGAATCTAACAAACACTTCTTACAGAATCTTATCGCACTTCCTGCGTCCCCTCCTGCAAACATACGCCTTTCTGAGAATGCAGGATTTGACACCTATTCGTATTCGTTTTCATTATTAAGGACTTTCCAGTTTACCAAAATATATTGAGGCTGACTTCAAAAACTACAAGTTCAGATTACTTATGCATTGGTAAACGTACAAATGCTGCTTGACCGCCTGGAGTATGGGCGATAATCAGTTACGAGAGTTCCGATGGCGTCTCCAGCATTTATTTGACGCAGTCAGAGAACCCTGATTTACAGGCCAAGTTTCGGTATCGTTCGTTTACGATAACGTGGGAACTGGCATTATCGGAACCAGCAGTTTCCAGGCCAGGTCTCGCCGTCGAGAAGAACGGAACTGACGGCGTTTTTGTCCGGCCCTAATTTACTGTTTACTTGAATTACTGCTGGAATCCATAATTTTCTTTGCAAATATTTCCTTACCCTCTCGTCCCCGCTGTCACGGGCTTGTATTGTCATGTTGCCGATGCCCCGCTTTGTTATGATACTCATGTTGTGCCAGCAGGGTCCCAGGCGAATGTTGTACGTAGTGTTGTCGAAGGTGTTTACAGTAGTTTTGTCCAGAACGCATTTCGCTGTTAATAAATAGAAAAAATTAATAAAACACATAATTGTTACATTTAAAAAATAAATTGTGAGAAATAATATTAATACTTATGTAATTGTTATTATTTACTTTGAAACAAAAACAATAATACAATTATGTAAAATAAGTAAAATAATTATGTAAAAATATGTTATGTAATTTATAAAGGACTTTCAAACTCGTGTCTTTGGGACTTTCAAATGGTTATTTTGATTTTTGAGGGTACTTAACATTAAGCCTCAAAACATTTTCAAAAGGTTCTTAATAACGGTACCAATTTTTTTTAAAAATAACATGACAAGTCAGATAGCGTAAAGATCGCTTAGGAAAATAGTGGTAGTCTCACGTTCGTTGAAATCACAGATGTTTTGAAAATTGAGAAAGTGCAATTTTTTGTGTCTTCCAACAATTATAATATTGAAGGAAGATATTTTTTCTTAAATAAAATCTGTTCTTAAAAAACAAATATTTAAATAAGTTCATGTTTAATTTTTCGAAAATATGGGTAGTTTCCGTGTAATTTTGCTCGAAAAATTGGCAATTTGTTTCTTAATACCAATCCAAATGTTTTCTTTAATTTGGTGCACATATGTTATAAGGGATGGGAGAAAACATGGTGCTACTCCAATTATCGTATATTGCTCGTATTTTTTCGAAAATGCTAGAACATTTGTGAATTACAAAACTGGAGATGGCGATTTATGCTTCAACGAAAGTTTATTGTAAAAGATAAGCTCTATAAAAGGTCATGTACAATTTTTTGAATAGACTATTTATTTTCGCTTAATTAGCGTCTCAAATTTTTGTAATTCCTAAAAAAAATATTTCTCAAAAATCGCTTCAAATGTTTCTTTACATTTTTTCCTAATTACAGAAACATTAAAAACTTATATGATAGTAGCATTTTCAGCAACTATTTGGTTTCTTCAAAAATGTAAAGAACGTGAACATTTCAAAATTACAAAATTGGAGATAGCGATTTTTGCTTTAAACAAGATTTGTTGTAAAAACACAGCTCTTTGAGAAAGGTTATGTACAATTTTTATGACAAAAACCAGCTGATTTCGCTTAATTAATGTAGCAAATTTATTTATAATTATAATATTTCTAAAAATATTATTTTTTCAAAATACGCCCAAAATATTTTCAATAATATTTTTCTTGTATGTAACAGCGTATGGTAAATATCAATAAATAAATAAATAAATAAATAAATAAATAAATAAATAAATAAATAAATAAATAAATAAATATTCCCTTTTCTCTTCACAGCTGTTTTCTTTTGTCGCCCAAAAACATTTTTTTTCACAATTTCTCCATTTTTCGACTTCATAATTCTAGAGCTAATACTATTATCTCATCAGTATGAACCGATTTAAGTAAACTAATGGATATATCAACATGAAATTAAAAAACAATAGTACCTTTGGAACCACATGAATATCCCTAACGGTTCTGAAATTGTTATTATTTCTTTCTTGCATTCATAAGAAGAGAAAGGTATGTAATCGTGTGCCAGAAAACGTCGAATATTCGCCACAAAAAAAACTTTTATTGTCAGGTTCTGGTAACGAAAAAGTGGATAATTTCTCTTTATAAATTTAGAAAAGTTTTGGTGCTAGAGAATGCCACAGACTTTCTGGCACTACTTAATTTTCGTATCTCTTTAGTCTGTACTAGCTTTCAGTTATTCCTGGTTCTCTTCCTGGCTACCTTCTTTGGTCACCCAAAGAACATATTTTTGTTACATTTTGTCAACTTTTCGGATTTCTAATGTTAGAAGTGAAACAATTATGTCTTGGTGTTAAATGACGTGTACAGATTCAACCCTTCAGGGCAAAAGAGAGTGAGTTCGAAACTCGTGAAGGAATATTAATTTGTTGAATTAGTTGTAGCTGAAAATTACTGAAGATTCCAGAAACATGTAAAATCATTTGAGGGACTTCTATTCACAAATACAATCAATTTTTGAGTTTTCGGAAAGCTTAAATTGATGTCATTTGATGTATTTAACTCACAAATACCATAGTGTTTACAAATTGCTGGAAATGTGCACATTAACGGCATGAGAGATCTGACAAAAAATTACATGTGTGCAAGTTTAAAAAAAAACAAAAAATACCCTGAAATGAATTTAGCACCATATTAAAGAGTGCAATTATCACTATCCCTTGGAAAAGTTGGAAGAAAAATAGTTTTGAAAACATGGCGTTTTTGCAAAATGCGAATTTTGCCCTAGTTTTCACAGAAACGGTTGGGTTTTCGAGCAACTTTATTGGATATTATTTAAAGCACATGTACTCAGAAATACAATAATGAGGAGAAAATGCCTCTAATACAAATATTAACGACATGAGAGACAAGAAAAGAAATTACATTTTTGTAATTTTTGATATATCAAAAGAATAGAGCAATATAACGAACGTTAATCCACAGATTAACCCTTTGCCAAGATAAACATTGTGCTGAAAGTCTTTTTAGTATTTTCTTTTGATACACATTCAGATAATACAAAAACAATACGAAAGCCTGTTGTTTTTTTGGTACTAAAGGAAAGTAGTGAAGCCGTGATAACGTCGCAAAACTTCAAGAAACACTGGGTGAAAATGCTGAAATTTAGCACAAGCAAATTGAACTATGGCATCCTAAGGCTGGTAAGTACTACACAAAGTTGTACAGCTACCTACAGGCGAAAAGAACGAAAGGGCAGATACTTATTGACTTACAATAGAATTTATATAAATCGAGAATGTTTGTTGTTGGGGGAATACCTCGATAAATCTAAGGATCCATTGATTCGTGTGGCTCAGTTGGTTCAGTTTGGTGCGGTTTGGTTAGTTTCGTTAATTTGGTTCGTTAATTTTTTTTATTTTGATACATTAACTTTACTTTTATTATCATTTCACATGTTTTACGTTGGCGTATGCACAATATCACTTAATTTCTTTCTTATACGAGTACTTTCCAATGAGATCAGCTTCATATAACAGGTCACGAAGGCAAAAAAAACGAAATTTTTACTGTTTTTTTAAATGGACTAAAGTTCCCATGCAATTATTTTAAAGTTCTGAACATTACGTAGAAGTATGTTGCCGTCGTAGAAGTATGTTTGTTTCCGCGCGTGTCCCGTGTGAGTGCAGGAGTTTGGAAGTGAATCATGTGCACTTACGATTGTTCTCATTAACAAACCGGTACTGCCTGACGCGGTCGACGAAGTTGTACTCCGGATGGACGACCACGAAAGGGCGCACCTGCCGCGTCATGCGCAGTTTCTCGAATCGCGCGGCGAAGGATGGCCCGCTCAAGGCCACGTCGACGGCGTGGAAGCCGTCGGCGAAGCGCACCTCGGCCTGGGCGCGGCCGGGCTCCCCGCGGTGCAGAGGGTTCTCGCGGACGTGCGGCTCGAAGAGGTCGCGCGCCCGCGCGTACGCCGCTGCAGTAAGGTTCAGGAAGGCCGGCTCCAGGCGGTCGAATTCGGCCTCGCAGCGGTAGTGGTCCAGGTAGCCCGCGCGCAGGGTGACGTTGAGGCAGGCCGGCTGGAAGAGGTCGCCGCGGGCCATCTGCTCGCGGCACAGGACCGCCGTGCGGTCCGATTCGAGGTAGCTGACGCGCTCCGGTGTGCGGTTCAGGGTGCACTGTTTTGGGACAAAAATGTGTATGCAGTAGAGTCGCGATGATCCGAAGTAATTTGGGGCTGATGGTACCTCGGATTACACAACAATAAAGGGAAAATACTAAGGCAATTTGTAGCTACAATGTATAATGAAGCCAAATTTAATGTGGAGATACACTTATAAAATTACAGATACACACAATCATATATGAGCGCATTGGCACTGACCGTTGCCCGTACGACCATCGCCGCAGTGTCGCCCTACCGTCAAGAACCAGCTCTGATTATTGTCACTTGTTTGCCCGTTTGGGTGACGGCGCACATCAGGCATTTTTGCGCAGAATCTCGAATTTGGGTGGCGTGAATTACTGCGAATTCACTGTACTGCGATTAAAACATGTAATTCTTTCGAAGCCACGAGCTGAAAGGAGAGGAGGACACCGCCATCTTCAATACCAAAAAATTAAGTCGTAACGAAGCACGGGATTCGATGACAATTGCCCCCCTCTCCTGCCAGCTTGAAAGGACTTCCTGTTTAATGCGAGTATAAATTATTGTATATTCTGATTTAATCACAGTGGCACTTCAAGGTCACGGGCTGGAAGGATATACCAATATCAAACATTTAAGTGGTAACGAAGCTCCCGATTGGGTGAAAGTGGCCCCTTTTCCCTCCAGCTACTGAGGTTGAAGGTTCACGGTGTTTAAATTGGAGAACAGAGGTCGTAATTACGCGCCGCAAATAATAAAAAATAATAATAAATCGTCAATTGTCAAGTACATGTCTCCCTGTATAAAACGTTCAATGATAATAATTACACGTTATGCATTACGTTTTTTTAGTCAAGAAGGATAGCAGACTGTACTACAATAGTCAAGTAGAACATTCATGTACAGACCTTGGTAAATATAAAACATTGCAATTACATTTTCATTTAATTTATTGTACATTCAGATTTAATCACAGTGGCACTTCAAGGTCACGAGCTGGAAGGAGATACCAATATCAAACATTTTAGTCGTAACGAAGCTCCGATTGGGTGAAAGTGGCCCCTTTGCCGTCCAGCTCGTGACGTTGAAGGGCCACGGTGTTTAAATCGGAGAACAGAGGTCGTAATTACGCAGTAGTGTTGGGGGGAGGCCTGGGGGCGCGCTGCGCCGTCGGAGTGAGCGGGGACAGCGAGAGCTGAAGAGCACGCCTCCACTCCCCTCGCCACTTCGGCGGGTGAGTGGGCCGAGCCTCACAGTGGCCCTCTACTTCGTGGCAATCGCCCAATTGGGAATTGTGTTGCAGCGTGCATCTGACCCTGCTTGCACGTTGATATTCTCCCAAATTGATACCGGGGGGACGTTAGCATGTTGGTGGATATCTCCCTGCTGGTATGGTAACACGCTACGATTTGGCGCCGTTAAATCTGCGTGTGACGTGCGATGGGGAGGAGGTAATTTGAAGTTACATTTATGTCCAGAAGCAAAACAAGGGGCTATCTTAACATTTGCTCAAAGATCAGGGAAAGTGGACGAAAACCGGAATCGAGATGGGAGTTTTTGGCCCAGAAGCTCAAGTGCAATACTTGTTACAGGTTCTTTAGACTTATACAATCCAAATGGTAAATAATACATTGAATGTTAATGTTAAAATTAATATTACTTTGCTTTTGGACCTTATTTGACTTGGCAAGGCAAAAATAGGGTTGACCACCGTTGCATTTTGCTTCACTAAAGAGATAAGCAAGTGGTCAGGAGAGAGTAGATAAAGATCCGCAGTTTCTCTAATATTAATGCATTGAATTTTATACTTGATCTTTGGTGTTGTACTTTGTTGTGTGATACTTTCTTTCTCATAACTTTTAGAATACAGTGCAACGTATATCCATTGGAAATGCCAACTATGAGAGCTTTCCTAAATTAACATATCGATGGCTGAGAACGAGACTGACCTAAGTCCAATTTTGTAAAAAAGTTATATTTCTTTTTCATTTTGTTCTGTCTCCCTGTCTACGAGTGTGCATTGTAAATAGTCCACTCCTTTAGCATGCAGATACTTCATTACATACTTACCCACTACATACAAAAATTTTAAAAGCCTCTCCCGAATAATTAGAAAAATTGACTAAGACCAATCTGTTTCTCAGTTATCGACGTGTCTATAGAAATCTGTAGCTCATTGCTGACGCGTTTGTCAGCAAGATGCCTCTTGGTGAAGAGTGAAACGACCCGCTCTGTATACAGCAATTACAAATGACTTATGAGATCCTACGTAGATAAACAGTGAAACATCATACCTGAATGTCAATATCCATCTTCTTTTGTTCAGAGTCAACATACAGCAGTTTCCCAGAGACGGTCGATTTCGGATTCGCTGTCAGAGCTTCGTCAAACATCCATCGAGGTGCGTCTCCCCACTGGCTCTTGACGGTCAGATGCAACTGGAAGATCACACGTAAATGCTGCAAGTTTTCAACTAGAACTCTTTGCCAACTTAGTTACACTTTTTGAACTTCAAGAATTGCGAGATCGAAAACTGAAAATAATTTGGTCATGATTTTAAAACACAATTGACAAAGAATGAACAGTGCCATCATTTGGGGAATGTGGCGGAAGGGCCACACTCCGGGATGACACTATAAGAGCAAATAATTTATCCTATTGTATTTGGAATGAGAAAAACGTTTTCACAAAGTATTACACAGTTTTAACATCAATAAAATGCTTATATTTGTCTTTATATTATACAGGGTTAAAATTTCAAAATTTGTCTGTTTCATGGGCATTTATTCAAGGCAAGCAGAGGTGTCAGGCTATCGTCTGCCGAACTGTCACGGCAAAATTTGATAGTCTCATAATATTTTTTCGCAAGGTTACCTTTTTATAATTTAGTGTGCTCCGGTGAGACGAAGCGCTAGATTGTGCAAGAGAACTCTCAGACGCAATACTTTAATGTATTATGCTCTTGCACAATACATTTTCTCGTAAAAATGAAAAAATCTTATTCGAGTGCAAAATTTACTGACTCGATTTTCGTATTTTTGAAGATTTCATTTTCGACACTCGAAATTTTAGTCCTAAACGACTTACTTCAAAGTTATTGAAGCTGTTCGACAAAATTTGTGTGAAACGTGGCTAAACTTCCCGGTCATTCAAAAGACTGGGAAGTGCCAGACATTGTTACATTGGGAACAGTCGGCATTTCGCGCAGAGTGTAGTGATGGCACCGACAGTCCCTAGATCTGCCCCTTAGGAAGCAGTTTGCAAACCGAGGAATATTTTGTATTCAACCGACTCATAACATGTTTAGTCGTGTAAGATATGTCATAAGAAGACAACTTACCTCCTGTTCTGGTGTTCTACCCTCTGGCGTTTCGGTTTTCTGCTCATCATATTCCTTATAAAAGTAGTGTAGACCCAGGTTTTCATTTTTTCCTCTAAAATCTGCTTTGTATTCACTCTCGAAAATGTGGGAAATACTTTTGTCGTAAAAGGACATAAATATTCCCATCTCTACTTTCAAATTTTCGTCCCCTGCAATCAGAGAGTAAACAACCGTAAGTCCCAAATGGAATGAATCTTTTGAGCGAGATGCCAACCGACTGACATGGCTCAGGGCAACAGTCATTGTCTGGGAAGCGATTCTAGCCGGGAGGTCCTAGGGTTCGAGTTCGATGGCGACGGATATTCGACTGGTGGTGGAGCTAGGTCTGGAGAATTCCAGCGGTCGAGACCATCGGTTGTCTTCCGTACAGCAATTCTAGTGAATTGAATTTGCCTTATTTTACGTGGCGAGACTCGGGCCATCAAGCCCACTCTTCCGTCTGACCACGCAAATTTCGCTACCTTCACCAACTAGGAGAGAAAGGAGGTATTTCTTGGGCGAGAAACAGGCGATTTGAATTTAGCTCAGAGGCGTCATTTAGGCTTAGGATCTTTTACATGCAAGTAAATCTACGAACATGGGACAGCAGGCTTTAGTACAGGTTAGGTTTTTTCGCCCTTAAAAACGGCATCGATCGATCGGGTTAGAACCCGCCAACTTGGGTACAACAGTCCAGTACGCTAACCGTTACACCATCGCCGCCGCCGCCGTGAATGTCGGAGCAATGCCTTAAGAACGGGTCGCGCGTTCATTCATTTCTCGTCTTTGTCCCTTTCCCTCCCTCGGGAGCTGCATATATCTGAAAGCCATTTAGAATGATAGAAATGTATCCGTCTGGGGTGGTCCCCGTCTTGTAGAGATACCTGAATGGGGAAAGTCCCGTAAGCTGTGTAGGTCGGCGCGTGATGTTACAACCGATCAGGGGAGGAACACCTCTACCTCACGTGATATATCGAGCACTACCAATACAGGACTAATGACCGCAGCTGATGACGTGCTTGGAAATACAAAATAATCTATTGAAATGAAACCAAATATATTACCTGAATTAATAAGTATGTAGCATTAATGAAAGAGAAGTTCGCGTTCAAAGGTGTTTTTCAAGAAATATTATTTAGATTCATACTCCTTTGATTAAAATTTAAACTATTGCGAGTTTGATTAAAATCGCGATGATAACAACGCGTCTCTTTGAAATACAGAATATATGGTGGGCCCATTTACATCCATTTGAAGACTTAATTCACACCTACACATACTCTCATCGATTTTTCGACACGATTTGAATCAGTTCTCATAAGATTCGTTTCGGTGACGATTACTCGTGAAAAAAATCCATTACCTCTAACTGCACGCCCTGAACTCACCCAAGAGGCACTGCCAGCTGGCGCTCGGTTACTGAGGTTGACGGATCGATACGTTTCGCGGAGCGATCCTGCATCCGGCCACGCTCAACTCCTTTAGAACGTGACGCAAGTAATAGTCCGCCCTGACGCATTGATTCATGATTCCGGGCGCGTCAACTACCAAGGTCATTAGTACCGTAAGTGTAGTGTGTGATTTTGTCGCGGGAGTTGGCGGTAATCTTCTCCCCGCCGGATGGCGAGATTCGGCGCCGACCTACGTCGGGTAGCGGGGATTTCCCCAACCGAGTATCTTCCACTAGCGTGGCACCGCTCCCAGCGGGACAAGTTCTAAGCTCCCAACTGGTCTCCCAACATGTGTGGTAGTGCATATGAGTGAAAGAGAAAGAAAAGATCGCGCGCGGTCCATGGTCCGTTTGCTCGGATTTCGCTCCGCATCCACCTGTGTTGATCGGAAAAAAACATGGAAAGCTACGGATCAGAGCAGCCGGCCACTAGAATTCTCGACCAGACAGCGGCTGAATTCGACCTAGCTTCCTAGCAAAGTGCTGAAAATCCTGCCACCGTCTGGATTCGAATCCTAGGACCTCCCGGTCAGAGGCATTACAGTCCCGTCAGTTCACGCCCCGAGACACCTTTGCTGGTGTCTACCGCCCTGAACAAGACAGGCACAGGGCTACTACGTACCAGCCGCCATGGAGTCGGAAGTCCTGGAGCGAGTTGACGGCTGTTGCGGGGCCACCGGCGACGGCGTCGGCGGCGTGGCGCACTCGTCCGCCGTGAAATTCACTTCGAGGTCGACAGCCTTGAACTGGGCCTTGCGCGGGTCGAAGGTGAGCGTGCCCTCAAGAGGCTCAAGCTGAGGCCGCGCCAGAGGCAGGAAGAGCAGAGCCACGGTGTCGTAGCCTGCGCGGCCCTTAGCGCACTCCACCGCGTCCAGGAACTCCGCCTCGCTCGTCAGGTTGAAGCGGAAACCTCCGTTGGGGCCGAAGTCGCTGATGTACTGCGGGACGATTGGGTTACGAAAATGAACGGAAATCACTAGGAACTCTAACAAAACTTATTATGTTGCTGTTGTCCAGGGTGAAAAAATAGTCAATTTCTGTAAATAAAAATGGTATTTCTATTTAAATTGGATTTTCCTCTAAATAAAAGATCCTTAGAAGTTAAGTCCATTTTGGAGACATAGTTAATTAAATTGTTCATTAAACAAATATTGATGCTGTTGATTAGCGTGAATCCTTATTTTTGTTTTACATAAAAATGGATTATTGTATTTAAGTTCTTATCCGATATTCCTATTGATATTGATCGGAGAAACCATGGAAGATTACCGATCAGAGCAGTCGACCGACCGTTAGAATTGTCTTCCAGACAGTGGTTCAATTCCATCGATAGCCGCCGTTGGGTTTCGAAGCTAGCAACTCCCGATCCACGAAAGTTCTGATGTAGCCTCATTAATGTTCATGATTCGATTTGATTTACTATGCCTAAAAAACTGACATAGTAAATTTATCAAAAAGGAATGAAATTTGTTAGTTAAAATGCGCCGAGCTGATTCGTTATCAAGGCTTCAGCATTAGTTTGTACTTTTCTTCTGAAGTTGTGCCTGGCACGAACTACAAAATATTTTGAAATTGCCTCATTCCCAAAATACAAAGCAGAGGAATAACGTTACTCACGTGTACGTATACTACGTGCTAGACCGATGTATACCTACGAGCCCAGGCAGCCAACGCTCTTCCCGATTGTATAGATTCATTGGTGCATTGCGCCTTACAGACTACGAGGCAAATATTGATTAAGTAGCCTAGGATGGCGTCTTCGATGCTCGAAACAGTTTTAGTACGAAAAATTTTAGGTTTCCTACCAACAGACAGATGTGTCGCATACGGCTCGCTTTCCGCAGATTGTGGGTCAGGAGAAGTCCAACGGTGAGGGACGGACAAATAGAGCGATGGGCGGACGAATGGACGGACGAAAAGACGGATGGACAAACATACGCTACATAATTAAGTAGTTGGATTTTTGAATTGAAATTATCATTGAAACCCCTCTTTTACTTCTTTCTTGACAATACTCTCTTTTCTCTCACGAGTTCGTAAAACTGGCAAGTAAGTTAGAAACATCCGAATGTAACTTTTGAATATTTTAATTATAAATATGATTTAAATGTTTAGAAGTTTCAAATAGAACGTACGGTAAAATATTTTTCGAATTTTCGAATGAATCAAAGCGCAAAAAAAAAAAATACGAGCATTTTATTTCTATTTTACTATTTTCCTTGCATACCATTCCCTCCCTCCCGGCCACTCTAATTAATTTGGGCGGAACCTACACTATAATAAACCCTTTATCCTCAAAAACCCTTGTAACTAAATTATCAAGTGCTATATTGTAGTAGCAGTATTTTTGCACCTCCGTAGAATACGATTTTCGTGCTTGCAAGCAAAACGTGTTTCAGCACGCAAACGTGCAATAATAATATCTTAACACCAGAAATACAAGTCTACGGAATGGATATGTTTGCCTCTCGAATGAAAAATAAAGTCAGAAATGGTTTATATGCAGGGCAATATTGTCTAAAACGAAAAAGTTATATTGTAACAACATCAGAAAACCGATTTTGATTTTTTCCAATGAACTATAGAATAAAGAATAGTGGAAACAATTGGCAGAAGAGATCGCATGA